GTGTTGGATAGGGTTGGGCCGATTTCGGTCCATTTCTCGAGTAGAACCAATAACCCGGCTGCTCATATTATGGCACATTGATAAACCGTTAATTGAACATGTTTTTACCCCTATTCTTGAGCCGTTTGAGATGTTGATTCTCGTGTTTTAGCATGTACCCGCATTCCAAATTTCACTAAAAAATCTAAATGATTCAAACATGTGGCATGTCAAGAGCGATCGTTTAAAACCTAAAATCACAATAATCTCGTTTGAATTGGCCCAAATCAATTTAATTAACATCGACTAATAGTGTGCCTAAACTACATTTAGTAGGTTCCAATAATATGGGTGGAAATTGGGGTGAGTGTGGTTATCTGCCCCACATTTTATGTTTAACCACATCAACAAACAATAAGTTATGTTACCCACTGTGAGTTTATATGATTTGGATGTGGATACCCACAAAAATTTAATTATTGAATATAATAATATGGTAATTAAATATTGATATTTTGTTTCTTCTCACACAAAAAAACAAAACCTACATAAAAAAGTTAATAAAGTGTTAAATAAACTATAGATAACATTTGTTGACATGTTTTATTATAAAAAATAAGCATATACCACATGAACAATCCTGATTCAATAAAAGTATCTCACACGGACACTGTGTATTGACTTGATTTTTTTATAAAATAAGTGTATAATGTTATAAAGTATTATTAATAAATAAATATAATTGGTGTGGCTATTGTTGATTTTGTGGATTAATCACTGCGGATAATGGTTAACCATTAACCACAAAATTCAATATTTTGCTAACTATACCCAATCGACTTCTTGCTTGCTACTAGTTGAGCTTTTGTTTGTCCCCACAAACCATCCCAATATTTGTTCAAATGTATCGATGGAGTATCATGAGCTTGTCGCATGGTAACTGATTTTCTTGTTGTTTAATTAGCTCGTGTTGCAATTGATTGTTTCTTTCTTTAATTATGAAGTGGATGAATTCGATTCTTAATTATGAGAATAGTAATTCGTGGTTAGCTACTTACCTATACTCGCTGTACAAAGTTAGTCACTGTATGTGAGAGGAGAACTTACACGAGTATTATGGTTTGTTTTTTTAAGCACAATTTAAGAATATAAGTTCAGTTTATACTATAATTTTTTTTATAAACTAAAGTGTCGATTCTATGAATCTATCATATTCGGAAGGGGAGAACTTGTATTAGTATATCAATTCAATTCGAAAATGAAACCTATCGAAATACTAAAAATTAGTCAAACATTTTGTTATAAATCAAAATATTAGTCATTTTTATGTTATCGTTAATAATTTTGTAATTATTTTCTTAGTTAAAATACTAACATTTTGGAACGTTAACCTTTATGTATCTTCCAAGTCATTATCATGTTGTCAAGTCAATATTACTAACAAAATTGCTAACTCGAAGTTCAAATTTGGCTAATCATTACTAAAAGATTTGGCTAATAAAAATGAATCGGAAATTTTTTTGGCTAATAAATAATCATTACCCAAATATCTATCTATATCTATATCTATCTATCTATCTATCTATCTATCTATCTATCTATATCTATACCTATCTATCTATATCTATCTATACTATATATTATGGCAATTTAAAATCAATCTCTTTCCACATAAGCACTTGGATGATCCAAAATTTGCCAAGTCGGACAACTTTTTTACAAATAAAAAAATTAGTTATTAATGTATTTATGGAGCTACCTCTCTCTTCTTTAATATTTTCAATTCTTTTATCCAATTATTCTTTTTTATTTATCAATTTATTTTTTGTTCTTTAATAATAAGTTACATGTTGATAAACTTAACCAAAGCACACATAAATAATAATTTTTTGTCAAGTAAACAAAATATAAATAAGAAAATAGAGAGTGACATATATCACATTTGTTTAAATAAAAAATATTTGATTAAACCTTATGAAGTAAATTTTCAAAATTGAAAGATAATTTACATTTTGATGAAAAAATTAAACAAACATACACATAAACAATAATATTTTTATCGATTAAACAAAATATATATGAAAAGAGAGAAAATAAACATTTGACATTCAATTACCTTTGAAAAATAAACTATATTACTTTATATTTTGTTGCAATGAAATAACTCTTATTCGTAAAGTATATGTCTAGAAAATAAAACAAAGATTATTTAAAAAAATGTCAGAATATAATCTTGATCAAGTAGTTACATTTATTTATATAAAAATGACTTCTTATTCATTCAGATTATGTTTCACCTTAAACTCCTCAAATGAAGAGGAATCACATGTGCAATAATTTTATAATGTGTCCTAAGTTCAAATTAATAATATTTGCTCTATATCATGTTGATTGAACAAGCTCTATTAAGTTCCTAAGCCATATGCTAAAAATATTTCTTTCATATTGGAGTTATCTTCGACAATTATAAATCAGAATTTTCAAAATGACCTAAGTATGATTATTGACAAACTTTGACTTCATACCCTAGGATGAGACACAAGATTCCTTGAAAGATAACATATGTGAAGGTTAGAGAAATCTTTGTTGAGAATCTACGATAAACATCACGTTTCATCAACTATTAACCTAGACATTTACCAAATAAAGGCTGACAATTTTTAGTAAGATAGTCAATTGGACCTAAAATCTAAATCCCTTTCGGGGCTAAATACCTCTGATCACAACCATAGGTGCCAAAGAAGAACGAAAAGAAGCCCAAAAATAGCACAAAATAACATAACCTCCAATGGTTGTCTGACGCTATGGGGGTAAAGGCGATATCTCTATCACGAGAGTGGGGGATAGGCAATTAGCACTCTTGATATGAGTATTATGCGAGATAAGATAGATATGACGAAATATCTGGGTAATTTTGAGTCTACTATATGTGGTACCTTCTACGGTACCCCGGGTGAAATCCGGGGTACAACATACCTTGAGTATGAAAATGCTATCTAGACCTCGAATTAACAGGATTTTTGAGCATGATACTATACCCTAAACCTTAATGAGTGAGCACTAGGTCCTAATTATCTAAATCATAGACTATAAATCCAAAGATGGTGCATTGATTTTTTTGCCTATATTTGGACGAATCATAACCATTGATTATTGTTTATAATTAAATTGATCTTTGGGTATAAGATTTACTATTTAGAGAATTTAGACCTAGATTTTTATCTTTAAGGGTTAGAGTAGGGGTGGGCATCCGGTTCGGTAAACCCGGACCGAAACCGAATAATATGAATTCGGTTCGGAAATCAGAAGGCAACCTCTTACATTTCGGAAACCAAGATAGCTCAACCGAACCCGAAATTCCGATTATCCGACCGAAAAACCGAACATACTGATCAACCTCGCATTCAAGCCCACTCCCAGCCCAATCTCATCTCAGCCCACATACTCAAAACCCAAGGCCCAAGCCTCCTCCTTATTTCCAAACCAACACAGATCCTTGAGCTCCTTCGATGGCGGCGAACACAGATCTCGGGAGGGATTCTTGGCGGCAAAGGGAGCTTTCCTTCTATTCAATCTCGCTGCCGACAACAACATGCATGCAATGCATGCTACCAACCAGCCATCATGTCTCATTTTATCATCTCTCACTGTTGCCGTCGCCTCGCCGCAAGATGGAGAAGAGGATCCGAAGCAGGACGCCATTACTTCTTCCAGATCCGAACTCTGAAGGAGAAAGAACGTGATAAGGAGAAGAAGTGTATATACGGCGGATGATCCTGCAGCATAGAGGGCGGCACCGACGGCGGCGTGCTTTTCCCTATCGGCCTGTCCTCTCTTCGTCTTCACTCGTCATTCTTCCCCGCCGCCATGCCTACAACCGCTTCCTTTCCTTCCCTGAGCACGCTCTTCTATTGATTTTTACTTTTTTAGTGTTGATTTTATCGTTCAGGGTAAGTGGAAGAAAGGAGAGAGATACGGAGAGGGGAAAATGAACGGAAGAGAGAGAGATGGAGAGGGGGAAATGGGTTGACAGATCCATAATTAAGGGGAATGGAAAAGGTTTTGGGTTTGGGGCAGAAATCGGACCGAATCGACATGTATTTCGGTTCGACCTGACCAAACCGATATATATTTCGGTTCGGGATCGGTTTGGATTTTGGATGATATAAGGGACCTGGTATACACAAATTCGGTTCGGTTTTAACCGAATCGAATCGATGCCCACCCCTAGGTTAGAGTATAGTATTATGTACGAAAGATCAGTCAATTCAAGTTCTGAATAGAGTTTTCTTACTCAAGGTATGCGGTACCCCGGATTTCGCCCTAGGTACCGTAGAACTGCCCATATATATAATATCAAGTATACTATACTTTTGATTTTACTTAAGGTACGATAGAAGATAGGTATGACGAATTATGTGCATAAATTAGAGGTTAGTGAATTATGGACTGGAGTTCACCAGGTTATGGTATAATATCATGGCCCAAAAAACTCCGGTTAATTCGGGGTGTAAATAGAAAATCTCAACAGTCTTATGGTAGTGTGAACGCAAGAGTATAGTGTACTCCTGCCGCACGCTAGCTTGAACAATATAGATATGTGTGTGTGTGGTTCGGGTTGGCGCACACCAAATATTAGTGTTTTGGTTGACAAATTTTTACATAAATTCTAAATGGGACGTGACAGCGCCATAATTTATGATTAGAAAACCAAAGTATCACAAGTGAGTGTTCTAAATATTGGAAATTTTCAATATAAACATACTAAAAACTTTGTTATGAATAAGAACACAAAATAATTAAAAGATCCAAAATGATTTAATCATATAAATAAGTTAATTAATATAAATTATAAAATAAACCTCTTCGGTCAACGGGTCGAGTAAGAAACTAGTTTACCATAGAAAAGTGAAATCTTTGTTTAAAGAAATGCATTGAAAAATGGTAAAAAGGTAGATCTCTCAACAAAATTCCTCGATTTTAAAACCTAAACAAAAGTGAACTCTTTGTTTTAGAACAAGTTAACCCTCTCTGTTCCTTCGCCTATCTCTAGTGGCCATTTTCTCCCCATATCTCCCAAGCACATCAGCCAAATCAACCAATCCAACCTCCCTCAACTTCTTCGCCGTCTCCAAGAACAGAACAACTCCTTCCTCGTTGGAGAAGTAGTGGAGAAACTTGTTGTAATCAAACCTCGGAACTTCCATCCCGCCATTCAGTGCCCTCTCAACATACTTGGTAGCTTCCAGCGTCTTCCCAGCTTTCACCAACCCGCCAACGAAAATGGTGTCGAAGTTCACAGTGGAGTCGGGACCCTTCCGCCCTCTCTTCCCCAAGTGGCCTTGCAGCAGCATCACGTACGTATGCATTATGGGCTCGCAGCCTCTGTTTATCATCTCCCTGAAGACTTCTGTTGCTTCTCTGGGTCTTTTCGAGCTCAACAGCCCTTTGATCAGTTCGTGGTAGATGGCTATGTTCGGTTTCTCGATCTGTTGCAGCACTCTCTGGGCCTCGTTCACTCGGCCTCTTGATGACAGCACGAAGAGAAGGGATCCCAACGTTGCGCAATCGGGTTGAATTCCTCTCTGCCGCATTTCGTCGAACAGTTGTTGTGCTTGGCTGAGCTTGCCCTTCTTGCTGAACCATGAAATGACGAGGTTGTAAGTCGAGAGTCCTAGTTCTTCCATCCTGTTAACTCGTAGGGTTTGGAACACTTTCACGGCTTCAGTGTCCTCGTTCTTTTTGAAGAATGTCTCTATCATTTTCTCGAACACTTGGATCTCTGGATCGAACCCATCCTCCACCATTAAATTCCAGACCTTTGACGCTTCAATCATGTCGCCGATGTCGCAGAATCCTTTAATCATGCACCCGTAAGTGAAACCATCTGGGGGAATGGTGTCCTTAAGCTTCAAAGTCACGTACTTGGCCTCCTCCATGAGCCCATCTCGACACAGAGCCTCCACGACCTTGTTCAACCTCCGCAAGCTGTATTCAACCCCTGAATCATTCATCAGGTGGAAAAACTGCACACACTTCTTCAGCTCCCTCGCGGAGGCCAGAGTTCTGAGAACAATCACGAACGTTCTGTCGCTCACCAACCCCAATTGGCCTGCCTGCTGAACCGTTTCCCAGAGCAGATCCATGTTTCTCGCCTTGCCGTAGACATCGAGCATCTTATTGAAGGAGACGGAGGTGTGGGCGAAATTGTTATGTAGGGAAGGTGTTTGCTGAATGTACTGAAAGAAGCGGTGGACTGGACGCCAGGAGAAAGGGAATCTGTTGCACACTTGGAGGAAGAACTCGTGGGTAAGCTGGAAGTCGCAGGTAGAGAGCTTGGATTGGAGCTTGGAGTCTGGAAAGGTTTGTTGTTGAAAGAGGATCGTGCAGACTCGAATTAGGTGATCTGAGTTAACTGGCGTTGGTTGCAGCGACGGCGGCGGAGGTTGGTGTTGTTGGACTATTGATTCGTTGGTGAGGAGACGATGGAGGGAGGAGAAGACACGGCGGTGGTGTTGGTTGAAGAGAGGTCTGAGGATCATTCTACTTATGGAGGAGAAGACCATCAGCAATGCACCTGCAAAAAAAAAAAAGAGAAGATGAAGAATCAGTTAGTTAAAGCCCATAATCAGAGCCTAGTTCGACCCAAAACGAAGCCCAGTTCGGCCCAAAACTGAGTCCAGGTTCAGGACTAGACCAAACCCATACTCAGGCCCGTAACTGCAGGCCCAACTCGGCCCGAAGCCAATTGGATAACCATATCCATAACAGGCCCTGACAAGTCAGAATCGACTTTAGTAGGTGGAGGCCTGAGATGCGGCCTTAAATTCGACCAATCAGAAAGAGGCAACACAAATGACACGTGACTCGTCATTTTTACTACAAATGATCTCTTTCAGCTCTTGTTTTGGAGGAGGGGGGAGGAGGAGAAAAAAAAAGAGTGGAGAAAAGAGGAAAAAAACAACACAGATTTCATCGTTCTTTCTTAGAGAATCCATAGATAGACATCTTTCATTTTCATTTTACAAGCGAGGTGGGCGACCCAGAGGCAAAAGCAAAAGATCCTGAGGTCCAAGGTTAGAGATTTGTACTCTTTCGTCTATTTCGATAATAATACAAGTAGAACCATTTACAATCAATCACTTGCCGAGATCCTTTTTTAGTTACTATTGTCTCTATCATAGTAGTTTCTTTCATCTATTACTATTACTATTTAGGTTACTATTGTGCTCACCAATTACTATTGCTCTTTAGGTTAGCAATTATTTATTTATTGACTATACTGGCTTAGCATACATCATTACTCTGCCCTTTTTTACAAGCAATTATTATAGCCAAATTTTCCTAGTTTTAATTTCCCTTCTTACTATATAGTCGGATAACCACTATATTATCATACATAAACAAATTTAAGTAGTATAAATAGATGAAGTTTTGATCTCTTTAAATCCAGATCCAGATCCAACAGAAACACCATAAACACACTAAATCTTCCGATTTCAAACCCATAAATCAACCATAGCCGAATAGAAATAGAAGCTAAAGTACAGTTCATAATAACATCAGAAACCCAAAATTTTTAGATTCAAGAACTCTTGCCAATTCTTTTAAATCACCCAAAACTTTAATCTGACTAAATCGCACAGCAGTAGCAGTGATGTAGAGTCGAGGGTGGCTGTTACTATTTGCTAGGGGTGAAACTGGGCCAAACCCAGCCCTGACCCTGTTCTCATTTGGCCCTGTATGCTTAAGTATTTGGCCCGACCCGGCCCGACCCTATTCTCATTTGGCCCTGTATGGCCCTGTTGGGTCGATTTGGGCTGGGTCGGGTCGGGCCATAGGGTCGGCCCATCTTCTTTTTATACAATATTAGCCCACTTAACTATTTAATATCAAATTAAATTTCAAAAAATTGCAGGTATATACTAGAAAATTTAAATGAGTTCATAATAAAAATAATCTAAATTAAATAAAGAAATTATTTAAACTAATTCAAAAAATAAAAGTTTGATTACAAAAATTCCAACTAATTCCAGAAAATTTAAGTTAGTCCAAATTTCTATACCAAAAATCCTAATTAATTCGAAAAACTCAAAATTAATTCCAAAAAATTAAAATTACATCTAAAAAGTCTAAACGATAAATCCAAATCAAATAAAAAAAATGCAAATTACATCTAAAAAGTCTAAATTACCTTACGATAAATCCAAATCAAATAAACAAAATGCAAATTACATCTACAAAGCCAAAATTACCTTACAATAAATCCAAATCAAATAAACAAAATGCAAAGTACGTAAAAAAAAAGTACACAATTTCGCAATTCATCAAATGCATCGCTGATAATATCAAATATATCATCTTTCAATCATCGGCTTGGTAATATTATCTCATATGCACATGCAAAATCAAAATCAAAATACTAAATTCATCCATAATTATAAAATATGCATCATTTAACACCACTAAGCATATCTCTTCATGTTAAGCATTTAACACCACTAATCGCCAGATGAGTAGGCGTCAGGATTACCTGCACAATTATCAAATACTAATTAGCTTGAAAACTCTGCACCAATAATCCATAACAAGTACCTCGATTTGATGCAAACAAGTACCTCGATTTGGAAAGGCGATGTTGTTGGCGGATAACGTTCGACAACCTTACCGTTCTTGTCCACCAAGAACTTCTCAAAGTTCCATTTGATCAAATCGCCTAAAAAGCCCCCAGCACTAGACTTGAGAAGGCTAAGATTTCAAGTCCTACATTCAAACACAAACCGTGGTTTTCTTTCTTAATACCACACTTAATACTAGTCAAGTAATTAAGCTACAGATTTACTTAAATTAATCATATCTTTATTCTAGATAACAGCTGCAGTAATGATACCTTCCTAGCACATGTATCTCCTTTGTGAGAGTTATTAAAAAGTTCTGCATAATCATATTTCAACTTAATATTTAATAAACCACACAGAGGAATGAAGCAGAGTACTTTTTGTGGGAGGGTGAGCAGAAGAAGACAGAGGGATCAACCGACCAAAAACTAGAAACCTTTGTAACAACAACAAAAACAAGCGACTCTCTATTGTTGGTATACAACTACAAAACCATCAAACTCCCCTCCTGAAAAAACTTTATATAAAGCAGCAAAGGAAGCAAGATCATTCTGCATTCATTCTTTTTTGGTGCAGCTCAATAATCTAAAGTTTAAAACCATACAGAACTCAAGTGTTGGATTACCAAACTTGAAACTTAAACAATGTCCTAACCTATTTGAAACAAAGTTGCAACCACAGGACCATCAAATGAACTTTCTGGTATGTAAGAAAATCACACTGTGCTGCAGTTCCAAGCTTTGAAAACAACATAGCAGTAGTGCATTGGAAGTACCTATTTCTCTTTTAAAAGAGCGGCATAATTGACCGACAACGCTTTGATTTATGCTTCAGATTCTTGGAGCTTTCTAATCTCTGATCTGTACTGTTCAATCTACAAATGCATCAAAAAGAACAGGTCACCTTCATCAACTACGAATGAATGCACTGAACACTTGCACACAAGAGAAAACATTCATCCGGTTACAATGAAACATAGATAACAGCTCCAAAACGAGCTACGGCTTCACTCTAACAAAACCATACCACTCCATCGCAGGAAAAGAATACATTCATGATTCATCTCAACCTTGTCACGAAAGGTTTGAATAGAATCCTGAAAGTAGAATCATTACTGACCATGACATGACATGTCCGCACAGTCATACTGAAACCAGCAGCTATAAACAACCTAAACTGTATAAAAGCAGAGGATTAACTTGAAACCTAAACCTCATAGTGACTTAACTTCCATAAGCGATCAACAATCAAGACCCAGTAAAAGACCACCACATTTTCAAGGGTTTGGCCTCAAACATTCATCATCTAGTACTCATACTAACCACCACTCACATAAGCGATCACACCATTTAAAGCAAGATCGCCAAAGCAACAAAAAACCCACTGAAGCAGAGCAGAAAGCTTGAAATTTGGTAAGATACGAAGAAAAGATCGACTTGAAAACCCCCCAATCAATCAGCTACTAAAGAAACCAACAAAACTCAATTAAATTCAATAATAAGACAATGAAAGCTATTCCGAGTCTCGGACCTGAAGCAATGAATGAAACTCACAGATCCACCACCTAAAGAAGTGAAACTAGCTAGCTAGCTCTCGATTTTCCCTCCTCGCCCATCAATCTCACCGTGGAACCAGAGCTTTGCAATAGAGATGTTGTTCCTGCGGTTCGTTGTCGACGAGGAATTCGGGCAAACCCATCAAAGAATAAAGGATCAGAACAAACCCAAATCGAAGTAAACGAAAATTGAACAGGAAAGCAAACCCATAAACGCCCTTCCCTTCCTTCCCTCGGCGGAAGTCCGAAATCAATAACACAACAAGTCAAATCCCAATCTTGTTTGTTAAATCGAATAAAAAAGGACATGCATTTAAAATGGAGCTTACCAGAGGGTAAAACCTCCTCGTCGTCACCTCTGTTCCAACTAGAAGGGGTAGAACGAGATTATTAGAAGGTAAATCGAGACCCCTCCTCGGTTTTAGATCGATCTCCGAAAGAAAAACAAGAAAAGGGTTAGAATCTCGCTCAAAAAACCAGAAATAAAAAAAAACAAACTTGCATGCAATAATCTTACCTAGATCGAAGGTCTCCCGCTCGATTTTTTTTTAAGCAACCTTCGTCATATCGGCGGCGGCTTTGAGCGAGGTTAGGGTTTAGGTTTTCTCTGAGCGAGCGAGAGAGATGAGGGACGAGAGGAGAGAGCGGCGGCGGTTTTGGATCGGGGTTAGGGTTTGTTGGTCTCTGGCAGAGAGAGAGAGAGAGAGAGGGACGAGAGGGAGAGAGTTTGAGCGGCGGCCGCTAGGTCACTATAGGGTCTGATTTTGTGCTGTAATAGACTATATATACCTCAAGTTTTAAAATGACCAAAATGTTCCTAGGGTTTCCGGCTATTTACGCGGCCCTGCCACCGCGTTTCGTGAAATTACTAGAATGCCCTTCCCCCTTCTGTACATCAAAACGAGTAATAAAAACAATTTCTCCACCCGCTCGTTTCGAACCCACGTCCTCCGCGTCAAACGCGAGCTTGGTCTGGCGTTTTAGCCAGTTCGGCTGCTGGCCCATCCGCCATCCCATTTAGTTTTATTTGTTTTAGAATCCTTAATACGAAATGTGAAATGCGGATTAAGTTGGTCTCATTTCTTTTTCTAATACACCAAAATACATCCTAATAACTAGAATCCTAATAATAATCAATTTAAATTTTAACAATAAAATTCTATTACGAGACGAGAGCTACCTTCAGTAGAACGTGGTAAAAATTATGATTAAGCCTATCAAAGTTAACGAAATTATAATACGAGAACCACGATCGGTGGAACGTGGTAAAAATTACATTTAAAATTATCAAGGTCCCGAACGAACTACGTGGACTTTGATCCCGTGATACGGGTACGTAGGCAACCCATAAGGTTCGAGTCCAACTAACCAATTAACTTTATCTTTTACGTCAGTGGGCGTACAATTAAATTACAATTAATACGATTTAATTTCTTTAGTGGTCTGGTAAGACCCTAAAAATACCTAAAATACCTAATAATAAACTAATATGATAAAATCATTAAATGGTCCAGTGGGACCCTAAAATTACAAAATTATTACTAAAATACACCCAACTCGCATAAAAACTTATCGACTTAAGTAGTACCGATTTAGGGCGTTGTGGGGGTGTTGCTTAACTTCCCCACACGTAACCGTACTCCCGAACCCAGAACTTCATTTTCGCAGACCATATCTTGGTTTTGACCCTAAGGTTAGAGCCGATCCTAAGAGTGTTCGATCCACTCCAAGTAAGATCGATGGCGACTCCCAAAAATGCCGACGCGACGACATTCGGACCCCCCCGGACGGGACGGTTGTGACAGATCTCGATCAGCAGCGAAGCTAGCAGAACTCCCGGTATGAAGGCCCAAAACACAAAGTTCGGAGAATCTGGAACATAGAAGGGAGAAGATCCTCAAATTGAACAAACCTAACAATGCAACTGTTTAGATCAATACTGAAAGAAACACGAGTGGAAATTGGAAACTCGATCTCTACCTCTGCTGAAGCAACTTCACTTTTTCAAGCATGGCAATTATTTCAGAATCCTGTAAGAACTGTCCAGCGAGGATTAAAAATGTCCCATTTCTCTTCAAGAAGGGTTTATCTCCATAATATACATTTAACCAAACATGATTTGGGCCTGCAAAATCCATTTTGAAACCATATCAATGACATCATCTATCAACTAGCCAAGTGGACCTGAATCCATGCGTAAAACTAAAACTTGCACATAAGCAATCTAAACTTGGGCAACAACCTTCATGCTCATCGGAAATGGATCGAACAAAGGAGACCACGTCATCATCTGCTGCAGGGGCAGGAATACTAGTAGATGCTTCTTCTGATGCTGTCGAGTACCTGGAGATCACTGCCATTCATAAGTCAGGCAAAGTACGTAAAGAAAACACAGTGGTCTCAAACAAAAGAGCTTACAGAATGTCCCATTCCGCTGAGCAATTACCTCTGAGAATAAGAGAAGTTCCACCAAAGTATTCCTGGTTAGTTGGTGGTTCTAAGAAATGAACGAAATGGGGCGACTGAAGTGGAGACAGAGTAACCTCTTCTGGCTTCTCCGCTCTGCCCTAAGTATATTCCTAGCAACAAAAGTTACGTAATTGAAGTTCATAAATTTGACCAGTAGGGATAGCTATCGAAACAACAAAGGAATTCCACCAAGGCAAAATGGGCTAACCAGAAGAAATGCGTCGGGAAAACCTTAAAAGTTGTCTCAAGCTTCTACATATCTGCATCATTTTGCCTTCTTTTGGTTTCGTTCCGCTCGTGTTCTTCCTGCGTCAGTGACACTGATGACTCGGTATTTGCACATGTTTTCCCCTTTTGTTTCTTGATTGTTTGAGCTTGAATTACCGTGTCTTTGGCCGATTTTACGCTAGGTTGTGTTCCTTTGTCACATTTCAGGTCCTAGCACATAAAGTGAAGCATAGGCGCAAGTTTCAAGTCAATCAGAGATCAATTGACGATTTGGGAGAAGACACTCGGGCATGACCTGAAGAAGAATGGATTTCTACCTCACTTTATGGACAGAGAATCATGCAAGCTTGTTATGAAACGAAATAGGACGAGACTACGAGCGTCTGGGATCAAACGGCGACTGATTCGGAGTCCGGACGAGGGAGAAACGAAGCATTAAACAGAGGCTGAGCAAGCTGCACGGGCAGACCAGGGAGGCGCACAGCCGTGCAAGTGACCAGTTTGGCCGTGCGGGATTGTGCGTGGCCACGCACGGCCGTGCAACATACAATTTTGGCCATGCGGGTTGGTGCGTGGGCATGCACGGGCACAAGTGAAATCCGCACGGCCGTGCAAGGTGCAATCCTGGCCGTGCGAGTTGGTTGAGGTTCGACTTATTGATACGCCGCGTTTTGAGGTGCACGGCCAGAATGGTGATGTGCACGGCCGTGCACCCTGGCCGTGCGAGTCGGGAAAGTCTGGTTTTAAAGCGGATTCCGAGCCAAACAGAGGGGAGAGCTGGGTTTTGGATCCCAAACACCCAAGGGACGAACCCTAGAGAGAGAGAGCGACTTGGAAATATTATTGGAGCTATTTTGGAGGATTTCTTCGCCATTGGAGCTCGGGAATCAAGCTTGGAGATGGAGATTGAAGATCTAGATCAGATTTCTGCAGTCTCTCTCTTCTCTATGGAGTAACTTCCCTTCACTTAGGTTTTGAGGAACCCTAGTTCCATGAGTTAGGATCTTTCTTGTATGAATTTTTGGATGCTTTATTGTTTGATTATAATCGATTGAGGCATGATTTATTGAGTCAATTGAATCTTGATCAAATTCTCTTGATTTCTGCTTTAACCTATGATAGATAGAATCTGATTAGGTTAAGAGAGCTTCCTTGATTGATAGTGGTGAATTGGTTGTGCGAGAGTCAATCAATTTACTGCTTTGTACTGGAATTCATTCCAGTAGTGGAGATCTGTGTGAATCGCCTTAGCAGTCTATCCCGGTGAAGGCTAGTCGTCTGTCGGGTATTCTGTTTGAGAGGGCTTGGTCAGCTTAAGAGATTCCAAGCTAATTTCGGATCTTCCGCAGTTTAATCAACAGTAGATCAACCAAAGGTAATTGCAACTTGGACCTAATTGAGGAGGTAGGGAGAATCATACCTAAGTGAGTTCCCAACTTGTAATTAGTAGAGTAGTTTAGTAAATCAATCCTTAATCTAGTTTGCTAGATAATGAACTCAAGCTGAGTAATAGTAACTCTAGAGACCCGTGGATTCGATATTTATTACTTGTGCCACTATACTGCAGTCCCTTTCATTGGTTACACTTGGCCATTATTAGGTGTTGTGTTTTAGCGTGTCAGACACGCCAAAACACAACACCAAACTGCGACCAAGTGTAATCGCAGTCCGGGAATGCAGTAACAGGCAAGTTTAATTATCAACCCGGGGTCTAGATCTACTGCTTACTCCGCGATTCTCTATTATCTAGCAAACTAGTTCGAGTGATTGTTGTTTAAAAGCAAAAGCAGTAAGAAAGCAGTAAACTGTTCGGTTTTCTAAAGCAGGTAAGAGTCACTCGGGAATGAGTCCCCCTAGCCCCTTAGTTAGGTTCAATTGTAATTCCCTGGGTTGATTTACTATTGATTAGACTGCGGAAGATCCGACAGTAGCTTGGAATCTCTTAAGCTGACCAAGCCCTCTCAGTCTAACTACCCGGCAGACGACTAGTCTTCACCGGGATAGAGAGCTGAGGCTATGAACACAGAACTCCACTACTGGAATTGAATTCCAGTACAAAGCAATTAACTGGCTAACTCTCGTATAGCCAATCTCCTACTATCGAATGAAGAGGCTCTAACAACCTAATCAGATTCTATCTATCTCAGGTTGCAGCAGAAATTGAGAAAAGCTGATCAGACTCCAATCAATTCAATAAACATGCATCATTCGATTAAAATCAAACAATAATATCATCCCAAGTCATTACAATCGATTCCCTAACACAAGGAACTAGGGTTCTTCATACCCAAGTGAGAGAAAGGTTCTACTCCATAGAGAGAGAAAGGAAAACAGAAATCAGAGTAGTCATACTCATAAAGATGAGGAAAATCTGCTATGGGATGTCAATCTTCACTCCTAGGGACGCAATCTGGGCTTCAATGATGAGAAATCCACTCCAAAATAGCTCCCAGGGTTTGTTCTTCGCTCTTTCTCTCTCTAAAAACTCTGTTTTTGCCTAGAAAATCGAATTCCTCTTCCTTGGCTCGAATTTGCCTCCAAAAACCCGACTCTGGGCGAATTACGGGCAGAATTACGGCCGTAATCATGTCCTGCCCGTAATTCGCACCAAAACGCATGTTTCACTTAGGCTGCAGGGGGAGGAGATACGCCCGTAATTTACAAATTACCGCCAGTAATTTGGGAATTACGGCCGTAATTCTTGGGATCTTGCCCGTAATTTTACCACCGAGAGGGAATTCTGGGGAGAAGGCTCGGCCATTTAATTACGGGCATGCCCTGGCCAATTACGGCCGTAATTTGGCAGGGGCTGCCCGTAATTCTCTCCGTGACTCGCCAATTGACCTCCAAATGACCCGAAACTTGCGCCTATGCACCTCTTTACTTGCTAGGACCTGAAATACGACAAAACAACACAACCTAGCGTAAAATAGGCCAAGGAACAATCAATTCGAGCCAAAATGGACAGGAAACCAGAGTGAAAACACGTGCAAATACGATGCTATCAAATTCCCCCACACTTAACTGTTTGCTTG